TTCAGTCTGACAATCTCTGCCTTTTAGTTGGTGTGTTTAGACCACCTACATTTAATATGATTATTGAAAGGGCTAGGTTTGAGTCTTTCAGCTTGTTTTAGTTTTTTATTCCTCTTCTCCTCCTTTTTTTCTTTTTCTGCTTTCTTTTGGATTAAACTAGTATTTTTTATTATTCCATTTCAATTCCTTTGGTTTCTAGCTATAGCTTTTTGTTTTGTTATTTTAGTGGTTGCTTTAAGGAATCGTATTACATACCTTTTATTTAACACAGTCTATTATGCCACTTCACATACAGTATAAGAACCTTAGAATATACCTTTATATTTCCATTCCTGGCCTTTATGCTGTTGTTACATGCAGTTTGTTTTTACATGTCACAAACCCCCCAAACCATTGTTATTATTGTTGTTTAAACAGTCAATTTTCTTTTAAAGATATTTAAATACTAAGAAAAAAGTGTATGTTTTGCCCACTTAGTTACCACTTCCAGTGCTCTTCATCCTTTGTAGATATCCAGATTTCCATTTGATATCATTTCCTTCTGCCTGAAGAATGTCTTTTAACATTTCTAGGAGCACAGGTCTGCCGGTGGTGAATTCTTTCATATTTTGAATGTGTGTTTAGGAATTTATTACATCTTCACTCTCTGAAAGATAATTTTGCAGGGTGTAGAATTCTATGTAGACAATTTTTTTCTTGGAGTATTAAAGACCTGGCTTCATTGTCTTCTCACTTGCATTGTTTCTGGTATGAGAAATGGAAGATATAGAAAGATCCAATATAACTTTAAGAAATGAAAACTACAGTGTCTGAGAGATGTACTGAAGGGGACTAACAGCAGATTAGAAAACGCAAAAGAAAAAAATTAGTGAATATGAAGGCATAGCAAAAATATTATCCAAAAGGAAACAGTGAGAAAAAAATAATCTAAAAAAAAAAAAAGGAAGAAAGAAAAACAAGAAAAGAACATCAGTGAGATGTGAAACAAGTACAGTTGACCTAATATACAGGTAATTAGGCCCAAGATATGTCATTCCTATCTTTTTTTCTGTGTAAGTAACAAGATTTTTTTTTCTGGCTTTTTTCCCCCCTTTGGCTGTTGGCTATAAGGGGATCTAAGCCCTTGACTTTGGTGTTAAAACAGTGATCTAACAAACTGAGTTAACCAGCCAGCTCTTCTCTAGTTTTTTAAAAAGATTTTCTCTTTATTATTGTTGAGCAGTTTATGATATGCCTTGGTGTCATTTGTTCATGTCTCTAGTGCTATTAAGGCTAGTACTTTAATATATTGAGCTTCTGGTATCTGTGGATTTATAGTTTTTATTACATTTAATAAGTTTTTGGTTATTGTTTCTTTAAAAAGTTTTTTTGCCAGTACCCCTTTCCCCCTTGGAGGACTCCAAAAGGGACCCCAGTAGTGTAAAGGGTTCCATTCAGAGGATCTTTCTCCCACTGTTGTCAGAAAACATTCTAGTACATTACTTGCTAAGCAGCAGAAACAGCACTAGGTTCTGTCCATGAGTTGGTGGTATTGCTGTGCCCAGGGCAGAAGAGGAAAAGGAAGAGGAGCAGGAGGAGGAAGAGGCAAGGTAAGATATCTGAAACATCTGGACTCTCTGAACTGCAAAATGCAGCACCTAGTTGCACAGATATCTCTGAGTTCATGGCTTCAGGAGGCCTTTTTGCCATAAAGGGGTAACATGGTTCCCTTTTGTCCCAGCCAAAAATGGTGGAGTGAAGGGTGGGTGGGCTGAAGGGGGTGTTCTCATAGATTTAAGACTTGCAACCCACCTGTTCATAATCCAGAGTATACCGGAGCTAAAGTGTCTCCCTTTTGCCTACCTAGTAGAGCAATTCAGGGGGTGGGTGGTGATTACACTGGTCCTTTCAGAGAACCGCCTTGTAAAAATACTAAGAAAAATACAAAACTATGAGGTCTTGCTAGAAGGATGGGGAGAAAGAGAGAAAAAGTACTTGTCACTTAAACAATAATTTTCAGAAAATAGTGCTAACACAATGTACCACCACTACATATTACACAGGGCTTGGCATGTTCAACATGCAATAGGTAAGCTTTACAATGGGAAAAACCACTCTCATGACCATGGTACCTCTCTTGCCAGGTAACCATGGGGTTCCACCTGCCACCCCAGCTCATCCTCAAACTCCTTACACTGTACACACGTGGTCACTTTGCTCCCCCTTGCTCCTCCTCCTTTTTTGAACCCCTAGTCCCTCCACACAACCCTTCCTAATAATTCAAGCAGCATCCTTAGAAAACTTCTACAGTCCTGAGAATTATATCGTATTTAAGTGGCTGCCAGACTAGTAGTCCCAGCATTGCTTGTAAACATAAGACAGCCCCCTTAATATCTCAAGGCAGCTCCTGTTCCTCCACCCAACATCCCGCCCCCCCAACCAGCCGCATCTCCCCTCCCACTCCACCCAGCTGGCCAATGGGCATGAAGACTGTCGAGGGGAGAGTGACGTCATGATCCTCTTCCACATATGGTAGCCAGGGATCCAGGGCTTGAGAAAGACTCACCTTGCTCATCTACGTGGGTTCTTAACCTTTCTCCCAGGTTATAATCTTGTATGGACCCTTGTGATTACACTGGACCCTCCAGGACAATCCCCCCACCTCAACATCCTTAACTGAACCACATCTGCCAAGTCTCTTTTGCCATGTAAAGTAACATATTCACAAGTTCCAGGGATTAGGATGAGGACACTTTTGAGGGAGTTTATCCTGCTACCACATCTGGGTGAACACATTTCTGCAAATCTGTCTGTGCCAGGCCCTCACTTCTGAAAGTCAGCCAGTTGAAAGCAAGTCAGTCCAATGAACAGCTTTTGAGTGCCAACCTAGTTGGCAGCTGACACCAGCTCACTGACATCTCTAACTTTCTCCAGTCCGTGAACTCCGCATTTCCCAAAAATTCTACATAAGATTAGCAATCTGTTCTCCTAAGAGAGACTGCCTAATCAGCATCAATCTCTCTTACTTAAGAAAGCAATAAATTCAGCTTTGTGCTTATTATTGCAGAAATTATGAAGCTGTTTATTTGACAGAATACTTTAATATTACATGTATAAAATTACAAGAAAAAAAAGAAGGAAGAAAATTTAAAGAAAGACTATGCACATGCCATCATAGGGGCATTTGAATCAAGGGGGGAGAAGGAGAATCTCTGTCAGGAGAAGAACCTGAGGATCCAGTGCCAGAGTCACCCAGGGTCAGAGAGGGGAGCTACAAACACCACGTGAGAGAAAGGGCCTGCGGTTACATGGCCATTGGCCTAAGCAGCTTCTACCTGGGCCTTTCTGGAATCTGCCCCAATATTTTTCTTTTTCTCTACTCAACACTCTCAACCTGCTTTCCACTGGTTAAGGCTGATCTTTGACTTTATCAGCACCGCACTCTACCGAGTGAGCCACGGGCCGGCCCATGATCTTTGACTTTAGAAGGAGAATCAAACCTCTGGTTTATGATTTCATAACTTAATGTGACACATGTAAAAATGTCCCAGACCAAGGATCTTCTCTGATTTTCTTTGGAATAAGTTTGACATCTTCACAAATAACCTAGAATGACAAAGAATAGGGCGAGAGTGATTCTTATTTGAATTATAGAAAATTAGAAGACATTGGTTGTCATAAAGACTTTTTTTATAAGAATGAGCTCTGTTTGTGTCACAGGAAAACAACGTAAGTTGCAAAAAGTTAAATATTGAAGAATCTTCCTCTCAAAGATGCATTTTTGCAACCATTTTTTTTAAGGCTCAGAGCTACTTTTAAACATTCACGAAGGGTAAAATACAAGAAAAGCTTTTTAGACTTTTCTCCAAAAGGAATTTGTCGCATTTTTGCAACCATTTTTTTTAAGGCTCAGAGCTACTTTTCAACATTCACGAAGGGTAAAATACAAGAAAAGCTTTTTAGACTTTTCTCCAAAAGGAATTTGTGACTGGATTTCGACCTGATCTCAGACTTACATGATGTAATATGTTGTTATTCTCATAAATGTTACTAGTTAATAAAATGAATTTCTTAGGATTAATATTTGAGTTGTCCATTGATTACTTATGATCTTATCAAGGCCAACCTGCCCTGGCAGCACAGGATGGAGGAGGAGATTTGCTGGGATGCTTGAATAACCACAAGACAAGATGCCCTCAAGTTTTGCTACTTTGTCTATAAATAATATTTAACAGTTTTGCTGGCTTTTTATCCATTCAGCAGATTCTGCCAGTGAGCTCCTCCGTACATGGAAGCCAAAGGCACTCATGGAAATACTTAAACAGCTGGGTATAAAAGCAGAGCTTAAGTTCACTCTTCCTCACCATCTCCATCCCAGGCACAAGTCTGTTGACAGGTCTTTTTGTTAGTGGTGGTGATGGTAGCGTTTAAGTTTTTGGTCCTAGTTGTCGTCGTTTGTTCTCATTTTTTAACTGTTTCTAGGAAACAACTGTGAAGTGACAGCTTTACTTTAATTCTGCAAGTCAAAAGGATGTAAGCGTTTAAGTTTTTGGTCCTAGTTGTCGTCGTTTGTTCTCATTTTTTAACCGTTTCTAGGAAACAACTGTGAAGTGACAGCTTTACTTTAATTCTGCAAGTCAAAAGGATGTAGCTAAGGACTTTTCCCAAGAAACACATTAAGATTTTTATTTCAACATTTATGGAATAAAATGTACTTTAAAATTAAAGGTTCTAAAATTCATTTGTAGTTTTGATTCAATGTTATAGAACAATGTTTTTTAAATTGTGGTCCGCAGCCCACCTACATCAGAATCACCTGTGGTGCTTATATAAAAAATGCAGATTCTAGGGCCCCACATCAACTAAATCTGTTGGGATTGAAGCCCAGGAAATAGCTCCTATAATCTCCACAGCTGATTGTAAGGTACACCAAGTTTAAGAACCCATCAAATAGAATTTGTCCTCCCCATTTTCATACACTTGGTCTAGTAACTGGTGCAGAAATAGGAAAGAAAGCAGGCAAAGAAAACTATTCTTTTATACACATTTTCCTTTAATAGTCACCAAAAACACTGTCATTTCCTCTCACCTACCCTGTCCACCAGTTATGTTGGCCTTCAGTGTGGCTATAGCAACATATATAAATCTATATCATACATTTATACACACATACACACATTCTATAAGCACTGTGAAGACACAGACTGGACTTAGCACAGCTGGTGGCCTATCCCATGCCACTTAAAAACAAGTGCAGGTTTGCTGGATGCAAGACTTTTAATGGGTCTGCTCTAGCCATGAGTCCCCAGTTCCCCCAAGGGAAGTTAGGATGACAAATTGGGACAGCTTATGTAGAGGGAGGTCACTATAATTTGGAGATCACATAAGAAAAGAAATTGCAGGTGCTAGGCTAAGCCTCAAATGGCATGTGGGAAGTCACCACTTTCACCATGTGGATGCAAAGAACTCAGGTGTGGTGGTACAGAAGGAAGGCCAGCTTGACTCAACCCAAGGGAGGTTATCGGCAGGTAGGGTGTGCATCTGTGAGTAGTGCTCGCTGAGCCCCCGCCAACACTGTCCTGCAGGGCTGCAATGCTCAGTAGTGTGCTTCTAGAACTGCCTGAGGAGCTCCACCGTATTGGGACCACATGCCCCAGTCACAGGACACAAAGTCCTCTTCCTCCTGACTTGACCATCTGAGGACAGCTGCTGAGGTGAGAAACGTGCTGTGGCTACTGAGCCTGCCACTGGGCTTGTTAAGAAGCAGTGTCACAAGGTCCTCTGCCAACAATGTGTATTTGGGTTAGTGCTGGGCCAAGTGGATCTTGGCTAATGGTATTGCCAGAAGGCTTTCTGCCTTTCTGCCCATACCACCAGGGCACATCTTTCACTCCCTCTTCTGGAATCTCCAGCAGATTTGGAGGACTGGGGCCCAGCTCCTCCTTAGCAGATAGGTAGCTGCATGAAAGGGGGGCAGGCCCATCCTTCCTGCTCTTTTAAGGATGTCTGGTGGCTTTGCTTCTTGCATGGCTCCTGGAAGGCAAGGGTCACAAGATTGGAGTGCATGGCAGAGCCCTTAGGGATTTCACCTGCAGACAAAAATAGAACAAACAAAATCAGAATGTAATGTCAGACCCTGCTGATGGCTTCCTCAGGCTGGAGTGCAGCTAAGTGGTGACTAAAAGAAGCAGGAGCATAGTGAAAACCAGTTAAGAGGACAAACTGAGGGGATGCACTAGGGTCTGGAGGAGCAACTGGTGCCCCCAAGTTAGAGGAAAAGCCTCCCCACCTCCCCATGCTCTAAGACCCTTGCTCAAAGCTACTGCAAACTTGTTGGCTGGATCCTACCATTCCATTTTCAGGAGCCAGATTATTCTCCAAGTCACTTTGTCTAGAATAAAAATACGGCCTTTGCCATCTGCCAGGAAAAGAAGTGCTTAGCATAAAACATGCACATATAGAAACAGCCTGTTGTAAAAAGAAGAGGACCTTTTGCAAAGAAATCCTCTGTTAAGTTTATGTCCCAGTTCATCTAAGTCTACTTCCATGTTTTACAGATGAAGGGGTATTGGTCTCACAAGAAAATAAGAGGCCAGCCAAAGCCACACAACCAGTTAGTGACAAGCCTGGGATTAGAACTCAGGCCTCACGCCCTTTCCACTGGTGTAAGGGAAGGAGACAGGAAAACTTCCACACTGGAGGAAGCCAAGGGGACTTGAGGCCGATGGTTACCTTTGCTGGGACAGGAATAAGGCTTTACAGAGGCAATCTTGTAATTGCTGTTCTAAAGAGGCTCAGGAAAGAAAGGAACCAGCAGAGAAAAACAAAAGGGAATTAGTAAAAGAAAACAGAGAGTTAAATCATGGGCCGACCCGTTTTTACACTATGGGGATCAACATTCTCTCAAGTTACAATTTAGGAACTTTCTATGTATATGTTCAACTGCTTATGGCAAAGCTTTAAAGTACAGAATTAGTAAAAGAAAACAGAGAGTTAAATCATGGGCCGACCCGTTTTTACACTATGGGGATCAACATTCTCTCAGGTTACAATTTAGGAACTTTCTATGTATATGTTCAACTGCTTATGGCAAAGCTTTAAAGTACAGTGGCTAACAGAGGCTCATAGTGTCATGGTCACATTCTGTGATTATTTGAGTATACAGACCTGAAGGGTGGGAGAAGGAGGCAATGAAGCTTTAACATGTCTCTGAATTTCAGCTCAAAATTAAAAGGTTTAGTTTCTGATTTTCATTTACCTCAAGTTTTATTTCAAAGTACTTCCTAGGGAATGATTAATACTTTGTATTTTAGATAAGTGTAGACAATGTCTGGCATATATATAAAATCTTTCCTCTTAAGGTTCAGTTATTATTTATTACCAAATTCCCTTTTAGACATGTCTCTGCTTCTCCAAACCCTGTCCTTCTCCTCTTTGATTTCTTAACACAGAGGCCAGGGGGGTGGGAGGAGAAGGGATGTAGTCAGAACTGCAATGAAAGCAGCCGCTATGATCAGGGGCAGTCCTGCAGGGAAACTCCCCTAAGGTTCTATGGATCCCATCTCACCATGGGGCTCCTGATCTACAGAAAGCTGTGGGACTGAGGAGAGAGAACAACACTAAGGCAGAGAGCTGGGTATGATGCAGTAATGGACGCTGGCCTCTTACCACTGTGCCAGGCAGAGCAGGGCTGTGGGAGTTTGGCAAGGCCGCTCTCCAGAACATGGTAAGGAGGGAAGCCGATTCCTCTAGGGTGTGGTGCAGGGCACTGGCGCTGCTGCGAAGTTCATGGATGCCCTTGCTGCCCAGCACCTGGGGAAGAGCAGAGGGAGCCAGGACATCACGGGAACTGAGAGTTCACTTTTGCTTCCCCAGCACAGGGCTCAAGCTTCCTCTGTGAGTGAGGCACAGAACATAGGCCTGCACGAACCTAGGAGACCCTCACTCGCCATCTGCAGCTCCCAGGACTGAGGTGCTGCTCCCCCTACCTGGAATGCCCTCCTGTACCTGGAAAACCTCCAAGCCTTTCAAAACACATCCCCTTTGTCATGTCCTCCATGAGCCTGGCACCTTCCTTGCCTGGGATGAATGGCCACTTCTGCACAGGTGCCCTCACATCCAGAGGACGACTTCTCACACTGGGCCTGTAGCCCTTGATTGTACTTGTCTACCTGGACATGTGTTGAGCCTTGGGTGTGGAGGCTCCTTGCAGGCAGGGCTGTCCCTGTACACCAGGGTCTCTAGTGGCTCAGACAGCACAACCACTGGTGCCTGGTCTCCCTCAATGGTGAAGAGCTCTGAGAAGCTTTGCTGACTGCTCTCCCTCCCCCTGTGCAGGCTGAAGAGGAAATCCCACGGCTGCCAGGCTTCTCACCCCTTTCACACATGTGGCCCATGAGGCTACAAATCCCTCAGTTTTTGTCCCTCTGACTGATTTCACTCTGCCCACAGAAGGCCATGTGCCCATGTGACTGTAACAGGTAATGCATTCCCAAAGGGTGCTCATGGCAGCACACATATGTGTTGACACTTAACAACTGCTCTAGTGCTGATGACAACAGTACAGACTGGATTTTCTGTGGCATGAGGGGAAAATATCCAGCCAGCATCAAGTGGAACAGAGCAGAACTACATGAGAACAGAAGACAGAGAAGAAAGGGCTGGGCAGGGTATAAGCAGAAGATGCTTCTTCAGCTGCTGGGAGATAGAGAGCACGAAAACAAGGAGTGGGAAAAGGAACTAAAATCAGAGGAAGAAAGGACACAATGAAAGAGTGACCTAAAAGCTACAGCTTTGGTTACCTCTGTGCCTGGAGCTTCTAGGCCAGGGAAGGAGCGTGCTGCTCTCACAAGAGAAGCTATCTTTCTGACCAGCAGTTTGCCCTCCCCGATCTGCTGTCTTAGGGCACTATAGTCATCCACGTGGCCAATGACATGGCGGCCGTGCTTATTGGCAAAGGAGCCATCAGGAGCATCACCCTCCAGCTTGGGAGGGCTCTTCATTACTGGAGAAGCTTCCAAACCCAGACCTGAAAAAGAAAACCACAACAACACAGAATCTGCTGTTACTCATAATAATATCCTCAGTAGGCTCCAATCCAAAAGAGAGGGTGAAAGAGGCAGGAAACAAGAAAGGCAGCCTTGGAATAAACAAGGGTGGTGTGAAGTCCATAGAGATATTCTGGTTTCTATATTTTATAATCTTTTTTACATCATCTCATAATGATATATTTGCAAGGAGACAAATTTTTATACATACGGACACATGAAATTGTCAGGATAATTATTATTGATAATAAATTTCAGGGTAGAGGAGAGGCAGACAAGGAAATCAAGCTGGATAGGGAGAGCACTTTCAAGAATGTAGTGTACAGTGCAGCGAAGCCAAAGCAGAGCAGCAGGAAAACAGACACATGAAATTGTCAGGATAATTATTATTGATAATAAATTTCAGGGTAGAGGAAAGGCAGACAAGGAAATCAAGCTGGATAGAGAGAGCACTTTCAAGAATGTAGTGTACAGTGCAGCGAAGCCAAAGCAGAGCAGCAGGAAAACTGCAGGAGGAAGAATAATGACAAGAAAGGCACGACAGAGGGCACGTGAGTAGCACGGAAGGCCTTGGGGCACACAGAGAAAAATCTCGAAATTCAAGTCATGTGTATATAGACAAGAACGGTTTGTAATTTTTCTTCATCCATACCTGTGCCCTTTAGGTGTCATATTTACCATTTGTCCTGTTGCAGATCTCAGCTTCTGAGCCCGGAGCAGAGGAAGAAGAGCAGGGGAATTCTGCAGCTGGAGAAGCCATGCCAACATCCCGGACAGGAGGGGAAGCAACTGAATCTAGGGAGTAAAGACAAGCACAGTTTTCAGGAACGCTGGAACACACTGCACTGCAAGCACAGGCAGAGCCTTGTCTTTACCATCTAAGATCTCAGGCGACGTGACTCACCTCCTACATCATTATAATCCACAAACCACAATCAAAAGCAACAGCCAACCAATCCTTAGTTTCCTATGTTTCCATTTGTCAGAACAAAAAGATATTCCTCTAATTGAAAGGTGTTCCTTGAGAAAGCAACTTTCAGTTTGAAAAATAATGAAGTATATTTTTATAAACCCAGTTTTGAGTATAACTTGTATGTAGTTTCTAATACAATACCTTGCAAGTAAATATAAATATAAATAAATATACACAGTATATATGCTAAAATGTCAAATCAAAGAATAAATGGATGTATGGGGGATTAAACTCAACAACTACTCACAACTGTCACATGTTAGTATGAGTAAAAAATTCAGTTGTATGAGAAGAAAGGAGGCAGAAGGCTTGATTGGTTAAAGGTGCCCTACTGGAGAACAGAAAGCAACCCAACCATGGAGGAGCTGGAATGTATCACAAAGAAAGCAGCAAACGTCCTGCTGTGTCAAGTGTGGCTCTGAGCCTGCTTTCCAGCTTAGGCCTCTGGGGTGGGGGAGGAGGATCAGGGACTGAGCCAGTGGAGCTGAGTCTTGGCTGTTGTGTGGGAAGCCAGCGAGAGGGGAAAGCCTGGTTAGAGGGAAGAGGAGGAGACGGAACTCAACACTGCACCCATCATGGCAGCCCTGAAGAGGGTGGGCATCCACCTAACGTACACTGAGCTGTTCCTGGGGCCAGGTGCTACGCTAGGCAGTCCACATACTTTTTCTTCATTAAAGGCCATGAAAACATGATCATATGATTGTCACCTTCATTTGGTCAGATAAGGTCATTGTCTGATAAATGAGCATCTACCAGAACCAAAGACAAATAAGAATTAACATGAACAGGAAAAACAGGCATGAGAGTTTGAAATCTCAGTTTTAGAGAAACCTGAGCAGAAGTGATTCCTGATTAGAATAAAATTGAGGATATGGCCATGGTGGTGAGTGGGGATGGTGAAATGAATGGAGTATCAAAAGGAAAAAGAAGAGGAAGTAGAAATTGAATGTGTCAAGAGACTGGAGTTCAGGCATTATTAACACTGAAATTAAAACTGAGGGAAGTGAGATTGATGAGGGATACAGAGAAGAGAGGGTGAAACTTGGTCAAATATGCCTGTCTGAAGGCGGTAGGGCAGAGGAAGTGAACAGCTGCCACCCGGAATAAACATGCCTCCATCCATTACTTTCCTATAGCCCTGGTTCTTCAGGGACAGGAACAGTGTGCCACACTGAGTCCCCCACAGGTGAGGAAGAGACAAGCCAACCTAGAGGGTCTGGGAAGGTCAACAACACTGAGACAGAGCATGCTGAGGTGGACAAAACACAGATCAGAAATTAACACATCTGCTTCCAATCCTGGTTCTGTTTCTAACTCTTGTAAACCCTAGTTTGTCCATTAATGTCTCAATGTCTAAGTTTTCTCATGTGAAATGCAGAGACAGTAAAACCTGCCCTACCTCAGATGAAATTATATATTTGAAAATACTTGGTACATTTTAAAGCACTTCACAAATACAAGGAATAAATATTAACATAGACAGCTGCTAATTGCTAAGCAATTCCTATTGTGCCAGGCACTTGTAAATTATTTCATTTAATGCTCCAAATAACCATACAAGGTATATATTATTTACTATCCCCATCTTAAAGATGAGAAAACTAAGGCTTAAACACCCAAAGCAAACAGCCTGTAAGTGGCAAACTCAGAATCTGGAGCCAGGTCTGACTCTAAATCGCGTGATCTCACTCAAGGATGCTATACTAAAGCAGCTTCAATTGCAACCTGACCCTATGAAGCATGAGAGGGGCAAGATTACTCCTCTACCGCAGACATCCTGGTAACTCCTTTTCCTTTCTACCTTGGAAGAGTGACTGCTTGTTTCCAGGGTCAATGTAGACAGGGAAGCTCTGGTTGATGGAGGAGTGGCTGAGGCTGGCTTTGCTGGCACCACCATCCAACTGTTGCTCCAGCTGCAGTCGCAGACGAGTGTTCACCTGAATGCTCTGCTCCAGCTGCCCTCTCAGAGCTCGGATCTCTGCCACCAGGTGGCTCATGTCACAGCTCAAAGGGACTTGGTGACAGGCACTTGGGCTATAAGCTGAAAGGAGAGAGAGGAGGGATCTGTTAGCACTGACCCAAGTATTTGCAAACACTTGTCAGGACACTTCTCTGTCAAATTCCTTTCTGCCAAGAACTCCACCGTAATTTTGGGGTCCTAGGCAACACACAACAGCAACACATCTGTGATAAAGATGTCACCATTCCTGGGTAGAGCCGGAGGCACAATGAGATGGCACACATCCAGTCTGGAATTTCCCTGAGGTCCAAATTACCTTCATGCACCTGGAGGGCATATGAATGGCGGATGAGGACAAGCCTATTAGTTCATCTCCACATTAACCTTAGTCATGCAGGCTAGAGAGCAGGATCCTCCAAGGCAGGAAGTCGGCATTGAACTAGAGAAGGGTAGGGGGGAGGGAGAAGGGGATTTAATGACCTCTACACTCAGAAATCAAAGAGGAGAAAGAGGTGGCCTTTTCTGTTAATTCCTGAATAATGATTCATTTGGGAAGAAATCATTAAGTGGAGGTAGGCCTCCCAAGGATAATAAGGATATAAGGATTATGGAGGTTATTAGTGGTAATTTGTTTCATGTGTGTGATAATGAGAGCACTGTTGTAGTTTTGTTTAAATTAAATATTATGAACATGGTAACTGTTAAAATAACGTAAATTAGTAAGTTTAAGATTATTGTGGTGGGGTTACATATAAAGATGGTTATTCAGCCTATGTGTGCAAATGATCAAGGGGCCAGGATTTTTTGTAGTTGTACTTGATTAAGTCCTCCTCATCCTCCTACTAGAATTGATAATACACTGTTATTAGTATTATCTTTAGTTATTATGTATTAAGTGATCAATTGATGATACCTGAAATATAATTGAAATTGGTGCCAGTTTTTGTCAAGTTAGTAGGATTTTACCTGATATTAGTGAAATCCCTTGTGTCACTTCTGGGACTCAAAAATGCAATTGGGATAGTCCAAGTTTTATAATTAGTGTCACAGTAATTATTAGGAAGGCTGTCAAGTTAGGAATTTTTATGACTGTGCATTGCCCAGAATATAATACATTAATTATGATGGCTATTAATAGGAGTCCAGATGCAGTTGCTTGTATTAAGAAATATTTAGTAGCTGCTTCTGTGGATTATGGGTTTGCTTTTTTGATTAAAATGGAAATAATGGCTAACATATTTATTTCTAGTCCTATTCATATCATTAGTCAGTGTGAGCTAAATATTGTTACTATGGTTCCTATAAGGAGGTTAAATAGAATGGCGGAAAAGATTAGAGGATTAATTAGTACAGGAAGGGTATAAACTAACATTTTCAGGGTATGGGCCTGATAGCTTATTTAGCTGACCTTACTAAAGAATATGGTGTACTAGGTAGTGTGGAGATTTTTGAATTCATAAGAGCAGATTCAATTCCTATAATTACAGAAAAAAGAGAATTTAAACCTCTATTATTTACTCTGTCAAAGTAACACTTTTATCAGACATGTTTTTTATGCTTGTAGTGGAATACTTGATAGTAAAATAGGTATAGAGATATGTCATATGCATAAGGCTAATGTGAATGCTAAAAAAATTTCATAGAAGGCATATAAGTTGATCATACTGGAATTGTGGGTATGATGCTCAAACTTATAACAATAAGCTAGTTAGGAGACACGTTTTCATGACAAAATTGATTGTGTAAATTTCCAGTGTCCGGAATCAGGTGGTGCTCCTAGGAAAAGGATCATGGTTACAGCATTTTCATTATGATGCTGGTGTACTCTGTTATAAAAAATAGGGCAAGTGGGCTTGCAGCATACTCAACATTAAAACCTTATACAAGTTCTGATTTACCTTCTATTATATCAAATGGAGCCAATTAGTTTCTACTAATGTTGAAATAAATCATATTATGGCTAAGGGTCATGATGGAAAAATAGTCATATATTCTCGGGCAGTAATTAAAGTTGATAGTGTAAATGACCTATTTATTAAGATAACTGATAGTAGATAATGGCTAGAGTAACTTCATATTAAATCAACCCTGCTAATGCTCACAGTGCATAGATTAATGTGTATTTTGAATCTGATGCTCATTCTAATCAGAAGATAGAATACACAGCCAAGCTTGCTATGCCTAAAATGAATAATATTCCTATATTTATGTTAATTAGTGACTATAGGTAATGAAATTCGTAAGATTAGCACAAGGGTGAGGGTAGGTACAATGGTATATAGAATTATGTAAGATGTTAGTACGCTTGCTATGCCTAAAATGAATAATATTCCTATATTTATGTTAATTAGTGACTATGGGTAATGAAATTCATAAGATTAGCACAAGGGTGAGGGTAGGTACAATGGTATATAGAATTATGTAAGATGTTAGTAGTCATAATGGTTCTTTAATGAATAGTTTTATTGTACCAGAGAAGGAGTAAAGTAGGCCATGGGGACCAACAATATTTTGTCCTTTACAAAGTTCTATGTAACCTAACACTTTTTGTTCAATTAACGCTAGAAATGCTATAGCAAGTATGGGAATGATAAGCAGAAGATTAATCATAAACATATTGTTAAGAAGAGAAGTTGAACTGATTATAAAGTTTAAAGTTTTATGCAATTACTGGGCTCTGCCATCTTACAAGCCTTGTTTTTAGTCAGGGCATGTAGTAATGCATTAGATTGAGATAATATCTATTAAATTGAAGGCGATTTTTGAAGTGAGCCTTATTTCTCTTATCCTTTCATACTGGGAGAAATATTAAAATTTTGGTTGGGTTGACCTCGAGCACAACACAGCCTATTAGAATCTGACCTGGATTCCTCCGGTCTGACCTTAGATGATGTGGGACTTTAGTAGTTGAACAAACAAACCATTAACAGTGGTCACACCATTGGGATGTCTTGATTCAACATCAAGGTCATAAACCCTATCGTCAATATGAACTCTAAAAGAGGATTGCACAGTTATCCCTAGGGTAAATTATTCCATTGATCAAATTGTTTGGGTCAATAAATGGTTATGTTGCTTCAATTGGTCTAGTCTAGGTTTTAATCATTCAGAGGTTGTGTTGTGTTTTGAGGTCATCCCAACCAAAATTTTTAGTCTGGTAGATTTAAGTGTTATCCCTCTGAACAGTTACGTTAAAATTCTTTTATGTGAGCTAATTAATTTAAACTCCATAAGGCCTTCTTGTCTTATTTTGACATTCCTGCCTCTTCACAGGGAGGTCAATTTCACTGACTGAAAGTAAGAGAGTTAAACCCTCACTTGGCCATTCTTACAAGTCTCTATTTATGGAACAAACGATTATGCTACCTTTGTACAGTCAGGATATCACACTCATTAAACGTAAGTCACTGGGCAGGCAGCACCTCTAATATTAGCTATTGGATTCCTCCGGTCTGACCTTAGATGATGTGGGACTTTAGTAGGTGAACAAACAAACCATTAACAGTGGTCACACCATTGGGATGTCTTGATTCAACATCAAGGTCATAAACCCTATCGTCAATATGAACTCTAAAAGAGGATTGCACAGTTATCCCTAGGGTAAATTATTCCATTGATCAAATTGTTTGGGTCAATAAATGGTTATGTTGCCTTAATTGGTCTAGTCTAGGTTTTAATCATTCAGAGGTTGTGTTGTGTTTTGAGGTCATCCCAACCAAAATTTTTAGTCTGGTAGATTTAAGTGTTATCCCTCTGAACAGTTACGTTAAAATTGTTTTATGTGAGCTAATTAATTTAAACTCCATAAGGCCTTCTTGTCTTATTTTGACATTCCTGCCTCTTCACAGGGAGGTCAATTTCACTGACTGAAAGTAAGAGAGTTAAACCCTCACTTGGCCATTCTTACAAGTCTCTATTTATGGAACAAACGATTATGCTACCTTTGTACAGTCAGGATATCACACTCATTAAACGTAAGTCACTGGGCAGGCAGCACCTCTAATATTAGCTATGCTGGAGGTGATGTTTCTGGTAAACAGATAGGATTCATATTTGTAGAGTTTCTTATCATTTTGAGAATCTTTCCTTAAATGCATACCTGTGTTATTTGAATAAACAATCAATTAATTAGTTTTTGTTTTATTTAGTTAACTATCAGTGGTTATTCGATCTGATACAAGGGTTTTGAAAAATGCTTTAATTAGGAATTGGGCTAAAACTTAGTCTCAGGTGAACTTACAATTGGATTTAATAACATGTGTACGTATATCAGCCTTGGCTAACAGGCCTTTTGTTAGCATGCAAAGATGGGAGTAGGCACATTAGACCAGGAATCATAACTAAGTGAATTTTTCAACTGCTCCATATTTTTCTATCTTCACTCACCAGAGATAGTCTATTTCTTCATACTGGAGATGAAGAAGCTTAAGAAATATTCTACAAGGCCACAATGTTTGATCTGCTTGTACCTGCCTGCTCCCTGCCACTTTTCCGCCATGAGTAGAAGCAGCTTGAGGCCCAGATGCAACTGTCCCAGAATCGTAAGCCAAATAAACCGTTTTCCTTTATAAATTACCCAGTCTCAGGTATTCTGTTATAGCAACACAAAATGGACTAAAACAATATTGCTGTGAATGGCAGAATTTCATTCTTTTTTATAGTACAGTAGTGTTCAGTTGTGTATATATGCCACGTTTTCCTTATCCAGTTGTCTGTCAATGGATGTTTAGGTTGGTTCCAACTTTTGCTATTGCAAATAGAGCTGCAATAAACACGGGAGTGCAGCTATCCCTTTGATGTGATGATTTCCATTCCTTTGCGTATATACCCAGCAGTGTGATTGCTGGATCATATGTCAGTTCTATACGTGTAGTTGTTTGAGAACCTCCATACTGCCTTCCATAATGACTGTACTAATTTACAGTCACACCAACAGTGTAGGGGGGTTCCCCATTCTCTGCATCCTTGTCAGCATTTGTTATTCTCTTTTTGATAATGGCAGGTCTAACTGCAGTGAGATGATATCTCAGTGTGGTTTTGATTTGCATTTCCCTGATGCTTAGTGATGTTGAGCATTTTTC